TCTTTCTTTTTTTTTTAAGATTTCTTTACTTATGCATACAAGAACTGGGGTAGAGGCCAGAAGTGCAGGGGTGAGAGGCTTCACCAGAGATAGAGTGGGGAGCAGAACAGGCATATGGAGTAAATATACTGCTGAAGGGAGCAGCGGCGAGACAGGAAGGGTCTCCTGTGCCATGTAGGTCAGCTCCCTGGCCAGGGTTCGAACTTGTGCAACAGTGGCTTCATAGTGCTGTGCTTTAACCCCTTGCACTAACAGGGAGGCCCTGAATTTCTAAGTAGTCATCAGCTTTTGGTGGTAAATCAAAATCTGTGGCAGCAAGAAGAACCATCACTTTAGAACCACAGGTATAAGAAAGCCAGTTCTTATCCGCACCCCCGGCAACGCTGCTTCAATGACTTAAGAACCAGGAAGGGCACATTCAACTCCATTCAAGGCCATTAGCTGCAAAAGAACAGTCATCTTACGTTTTGTTCACAATGGTATTTGTAGCATTTAGAAAAGAGCCTGGCACATAGGAGGTGCCCAGTAAGTATTTGTGGAGAAAATTTAATCTTCAAAACAACCTCTTAAGGGGGAATTATCAATTTATTCTGCAGATGCAGTGGCCCAGACTCAGAAAAAGTAATTTTCTTGCCTCCATCACAGAGTTAGTAAGCCTGGAGATAGAATTCAAGACCAGTTCCACCATGCTCCAAATCCCATGCTTTGCTTTCTATGGTCACATTTTATCTTTAAAAGATACCAGAGTTTGGGCCCTCCCTGGTGGCGCACTGGGTCAAAGCACAGCACTAAGAAGCTAAAGCCACTTCAGCATGAGTTCGATCCCCGTCCCTGAGGTGACCCACATGGCACGACACACCTCTCCTGACCTGCCCGCTCCTCCCCTCAGCAGTATACTTTATCAGTCTGCATGTTCTGCTCCCCACTCTGTCTCTGGTGAATCCTCTCACCAACCCTGCACCTCTGGCCTGTACCCCAGTTCTGTATGTACAAATAAATAAATCTTTTATAAAAAAGATATCAGAGTTCATTATTTAGGTCAATAAACCTGTGAGCATACATGATGGAAGATCACTTACATTGTCCCTTAGTAGACCTGAAGGATGCTTTCGGTTAAGTCTTAACATAAATAAAAACGTCTTCACTAGTAAAAAATGCATTTGGGGGGCCTCCCTGGTGGTGTAGGGGTTAAAGTAATAGCACTATCAAGCTGTCAGCAGTCACTGTGGCACAAGTTTGCTCCCCAGCCAGGGAGGTGATCCACATGGTACAGAAGACTTCTCCTGTCTTGTCTGCTGCTCCCCTCAGTGGTATATTTCAGTAGATCTGCCTGTTCTGCTCCCCAACCTGTCTCTGGTGAACCCTCTCATGCCCCCAACTCCACACCTCTCACCTGGACCCCAGCTCTTGTATAGATAAATAAATAAAAATGCATTTAGCCCAGCATGCTCTTTGCTGTGGTGTAGACTCATGCTGAATAACAAAAACAATACAATTAGCTGGGATGAAATCAGAATCTCTCATTAAGAGTGGAAGATGATGGGTTTTGGGTTTCATTTCAAGAGCCCAATGTGGACTTTCTCGGTTGTCCACATTTGGGCTCAGCTGGTTGTCATCAGTCACTACTTAGAGGGCTCCTAAGTTAAACACCCCAATGCTGTACACCTGAGGTGCATGAGTGAGGAGCCAGTGCCCCATTTGCCCTGACCCCTGACATGGACCTCTAGGTCTGTCTCCAAAAAGGTTGGAGACTGAAAGGGTATGAGAATTACAGAGAAAATGACCATCCAGCACAGACCAGTCCATATTGACTGGTGTCTTCTTCCTCTCCCCATCATGTAAGTAGACTTTGGATCAACAAAGGGGATCAAGCCTGTTCACCAGGGGGGGACGCTTAAGAATTGTGTTGGACTGTTTTCTGCAGAACATGGTCAGCAGAGCATTGTCCTGAAGCTGACTTGCTGAGATTTGACTTGCTTTCTAAGTGCTAAATAGGATGAAGGGCTGAGAACTCAAGGACTAAATCCCTGATCTATTCTCTAAAGCACCTAGAAAGAACTATCAACTATAAGTAGTTACCTTATATCCCAACATCAATCTTTCATTGCTGCTAATTTTAATGAGATTGTATTTGGAAGACTGTGTTCAAAAAGGGAAGCGTGTATCCTTTTTGGGCTGTTTGCACTCTGTGTTTTTTT